AGAAAGGGCGCGGGAAAGGTGGGGGGGGGGGGGGGGGGGGGTCTCCCAGGGATCCTTGCCTGCTGGGTTTTAGCAGGCTTTGCAGCCCCCTCATGCTTGGGGATTTGTGGGATGGGAGCCTGGAGAGGAGATGATCCCCTTGAGATCTAGCCCTGATCACAGGGAAGGTCAGCATGTGCCTAGGAGGTGACCCAAGGCCCTCATGTCCCTTTCCCTCTCTGTAACACCTCCCTGCCTGACTTGACAGGTTCATCACCAGGAAGGACCGGGAGGTCTGCGCTAACCCTGACGCCAGGTGGGTGAAGGAATACGTGAACAGCCTGGAGCTGGAGTGAGCACTGGGAGCTGAGAGGTCTCTGGCCTGGAGAAGTCCTGTAAGACCATCCAGCAGAGTCTTGGCACAGACCTAGAAATCCTGCTGTCAAGCACCAGGACCTCCTGAGTCACCTTGGGACTCCTGAAGTTCCTTTTGTCATTTAGCCATGATAATTTAACAACCTTTTGGGCAGCTGTGATGCTGGGAACCTCCTGGCTTTGCAGACCCGTCTTGGCACAGCCTGCTGTGTGACATGTGGCTAAATTGTCCTCTCCTTGTGCCCCTGCTGCTAGAATGGGAGGGGGACTTTATCCCCAGAGCTATTTGTGGGAAGCGGTCTGTCAAAATTAAGTATGAGTGCTGTCATGTAAACCCAGGCTGACTTCCAAGTCAGCTGGCTGAATTTTGCCATGGTATGGTAGATGCTGTAAGATCTGTCTCCTTAGCAGAGGAAGTGGTACGCTGGCTGCTTACAGGATGCTTATTGTGGAACCACGTTATTGAGCCTTGTTCTCAAAATGCTGTCTCTTGCTGGTGCCAAAGAATAAAGATGTTTTCTCTCTGTGTCAGCTCTGAAACAAGTTGTTCCCCTCCTGCTTGGAAAAACGGGGCCAATAGGATCCCACTACAACAGTTTTGGGAGAGGCAGGGGAAGAACTTGCCAGCAGGAAATGCCTCAGCCTCCTTAGCCCTAAAAACCTTCCCTTCTGCATCACCACCCTGCCCCCAGCACAACAGCAGCAACCCCATCATGACTCCAGGACCTCCCAGGGCCTCTGCGCTGCTGCAGAGCCAGACCTCTCCCCCAGCCCTTTTCCCCCATCATATCAGGGATATGATCAAGTGTTGGTGGAGCTGGACCCAGTGGATTTGCCACTGCAGGTTGTTTGGCAAAGGGGTGGTTGGAAATCACAGGGTAGGGGTGCAGCGGTGTCTCTGGAGTGAGCTCGAAGGAGCAGGGCTCAGGGGCTGGCCAGTTGGGACCACGTTCCCAGCACAGGATCCTCTAGGGCTGCAGCCTGAGCTGTGCTCAGTTTTACTGCAAAAGACAGGCATCAATTATCAGCTGCTTTGGGAAGGAAAGCTGAATTCAGTTTAAAAAAGCACCGGAGATATTTTGCACCAAGTAAAACCAACAAAAGCACTTCATCAGGCTATGGTTTGCATTTAAAACTAGCCGATATCTTCATGGCTAGAGAATGAAACTGCCAGGTCTGACCTCCCTGCTGCTGAAGCTCTGTGGGGAGTGGGCATGGGGACCTTTTCTCTTGGGTATGTCTCCATCAGAGCTGCCTGAAGCAAAAGCTCAGAAGCTTTTGTATTGCCCCTTGGCGAAAACTATCCCCATCTGGCAGCTTGTGCATGCCAAATTTTCACCTCTCAGGACATTTTCCACCATGAAATGAGCTACTCCTCACCCCTGGGAGGAATTTCTCAGGCCCCCCTTATTGCTAGCAACAAATGATCCCCCATAATTAGGGGCAAGCAAACCAGCATGAGATACAGTGTCCATAAAACACTCTCAAGCCCATTGGTGCCATGGTGGTCTGCAAATGTTCAGGTTATCTCTTGTTCTCCCCTTGTTCATCACCATCTCTCCACAGGTGTCTCTGTTTTTTAATGAGCATTTCCTATTACAGTTCCTTATTAACTGCCTCAAAGTCTCTCTTTTTGGCAGGAGCCAATTTCACAGCTCTTCCCCACTGCTTCTGGAGCTCTCCACAGCCTGGGACTGTATTCCCAGCAGCAGCTGCCTGCCTCGGTGCAGGGAATGGATGCAGAAACTTCGCAGAGCTCAAGGGCACAGAGGAGGCTCAGTGCCCAGGAGGAGGGTCCCCAGAAAGGATGAGGGCTGCCCCAGCCATGAGGCCAGGGTCACCAGAGCGTAGTCCCACCAAGCGCAGGCAGCGGAGGGAGCACCAAGATGTCTGTGCACCGAAAGCTGGTGTCACAACCTGAACTGACCTTGTCCATGCATCCCAGAAGGGCACCTGCCTGCGTGCTGCCTAGGTGCTGAGGAATGGAGGAGGTCCCAAGGGTCCCAGGGATGGAGGCAGTCACAGGGATAGAGGGGGTCCCAAATCCTTGGTGATGAGGCACAAGGCAGCACAGCCCCAGGCAGAAGAGGGTGGCTGTCCCTGGGGATGGGGAGGAAAGGTGTTGGAGAATGGAGGTGGGTGCTGAGGGGTTGGTGCAGGGCAGAGAGAAAAGAGGCAGGGATCTGGGAGCAGAGGAGAGAGGGGGAGGATGCAGCAAAGGAAGGGATCCCAGCACTTAGGTCTGGGATGGAAAGAGCCCTGTTGGGTCAGTGTGATTTACAGGTGCAGGGGCTGGGGCTCAGGGGCAGCATGCCCCACAGCCCACCCTGGCAGCAGTCTTGCAGAGTGAGTAAAGACCTGACAGGAGGAGATGGGGGACAACGTGGTCCACAGGAGCCATGGCCCAGTTCCATCCCAAACTGGGGCTCACAGCAGGCTCATGGCTGGGTCCCCACACCTTCCCCTGCACATCCAGGGGTCTGGGCTGTGGAGAGTAGGGTTTGGGGGTCCCAAAAGTACCACTCTGCTGGGGGTGGGTGGGAAGGAGAAGCCTGTGCATCAGGGAGGAGGTCCATCAATGTCTAGGCTCAGTGGTAGAGACAGGCGTTATAAGCAGAAAGACAGTGTGAAACCATGTCTACAGAATAAGGGTGAAAACTGCTAATTTTCAGCACACCTGAAATGCCCCTACCCTCAAGGTAGAAGAGGAATGCCCCAGAGTATCTCTGAAAGGAGCCCAAATGTTCTGCAGGCTGGGCAGGTATCTCAGCAGGAGGGGAGAGATACAAGGTTCTGTTTTGCATCCTTGCAAAGAAGCTCTGGCACAGCCCTCTGAGGCAGGAGGCAGGGGGGACATTGGGACACAGCCCAGCAGCAGAGGGAAGCAGGGAAGGGATCTAAAATCAGCCAGGTCTTCCTGAACATGAGAATAATAAAACAGTGCTCATGTTGGTTTTCTTTCATACAGTGATTCCTTAAACTCTTCACAGAAAGCTTTTAAGCATTGCTATCCCTCACTCACAGATGGGGAAAGTGAGTCACGAGCTTGCATTTGCAGAGTCAGGCTGGGTGAGGTGGGCTGATGGGGCCGGCCCTCTGTGTTGGGGTCACAGGTCCCACTTCCCTGCCCACAGGACCATGATGAGCAAGGCATGCAGTTCCCAACACCAAAATTATTCCTTTTCAAGAGGAGTGGAAGAAGCTGGGGCTGGCCCTGGGCTCCCAGAAGCCAGAGCTGGAGCACTGGGGGACCAGGCAAGGGTGGCCATCTCAGCGTGTGCCGAAAAAGTTCACAAATGCCTTCACCAGCACAGTGTCAGGGTCAGCACAGACCTGGTGTTTCTTCCCGGTGATGAAGCTGGGAAGTGGGGAGGACCTGGAAACCTCTGTGGTAGGGAAGGGATGCATCATTGCAGAGCTGCACTGAGCTACACCGGGGCTGGGAAATGTCATTTTTGTGAGCATTGTCTGGTGTGGAGGCAGCCAGCCAAGGGGAGGTGCTGAGAAACCAGAGAAGATCCCTGGGTCAGACTCCTGGTTTTGCCTCAACTTACTGCAAAGTATGTGGTTGGTGGCTCCTGGGGCAGGCATCTTCTGGGTATTTCTCTGCTGCACATCAAACACCTCGCCTGGGAGCACTTTCTCAGCTGTGCTGGGGTGGCTGCACCCCACAGGGTACCAGGAACAACATCTCATCCTCCTTCCACTGGGCTCATCCCAGTATCAGCGTGGGCAGGTCCCTCTCAGCCATCTTCTTGCAACTAGAAAGCATCGCTCCTTGCCAGGACTGAGTGACGGCCAATCCCAGATAACACCCCAACAAGTCCCACTCTTGGTCCCAAGAGAGAGAAAGATTTGTGGAGCCGAGCCAAAGGCTTCCTGCACAGGCAAGAGCCCGTACCCACACAACTGGCTGTGGCACCTGCTGGTGGTGTAGAAATAGTCCTTCACCTGTTTCCTGGAAGGCTTCTGCCAAATGCATGTGAAGCAGCACACAGCTGTGTCAGGACGGCTAGAATCAGATTTGGGGTGCAGGACTGAATTCATATGAACAGTGATACAGACAAGAAACAGGTGGACGGGCAGAGGAGATAAACCAATTTCTCAGGCAAAAAAAAAAGCAGCTTGACCTAAGGAATGCAGAATGCGATGAGAGGGGGAACTGATAAGCCAAAAGTTACATTCTCAATAGTACTATCGTATGAGCTCATAAAATCTGCATGCTTGGTAACTACTAAGATCCTTGAAGTGCAACTGAAGAGGAGGAACATCCTACCCCAGAACATCATTAGGCTGGAAAGTTGCCACATGAAGTGTAAAGTAAGCAGAAACCATCAGTAACTGGGGGAGAGGTAAAGGTGGCAGGGGGAGATCGCAACCACTGACTCAATTGTCTTCCCTGAAAGAGGGCGAAAACCCGTCTTGGGGAGCATGCGCAGTTGATTAAAAGGCTTCTTTAGTGCTGTCTGAGGATATGTACTAATTTACATTAGAAGTGAGAAACTTGTAACCAATCCTAAGTGTGAATAAAAATGAATATGCAGTGTATTATGAAAATGCAAATATTTTATTGTATATAATGTATATCTTCATTTGGCTTGACATGCATGTTAGGGAAAACAATCCTCTGTGCATCCAGCACTGCAATAAAGGAATGCCTGCTTTCTAAAACCCCATACTGAGTCTTAGAAGGTTCTTCTGACCGACTTTTATGGTAACACCAGGAAGGGACACAGCGTGGATGTGTATGACCAGTAGGGAAGAAGCATTCCTATCATGCCACGCTCCAGACCAAGGAGTCAGAGCAGGTCGTGCCTGTTCCTCAGGCATTTATAGGTCACCATTGTGAGTCCTTCTTCCTCCAGGAGAGGAAAAATCAACCCGAAGACAGAGGTGGATACACTTGGAGTAGAGCAGGATTGGGAGCAGAGAGCAGCAACAACCAGAGCAACAAGGTTCAACCAGAGAGACCTTCATGTTC